GTAGGCGTCGGACAATTCATAAAATAATACTTTTTAAAAATCAAACGGTTTAGCCGCAAACTTCCGTGCCGTATAGCGTGAATAACCCTGTATATCTGAGCACCCAACTAAAGGGCGCTGGGCAGCAAAAAACTGGAATAAGTCGGACGGACCCTGGACGCTAGAAATCCCTATTACGAATGTATTGAAAAATATAATATGTTTAGAGTGCTAAACTTGGAGAAATGGTGCAAAATCTAAATAAGTAGACCAGGGCGCTATCCGATAGACCATCACAAAGCAATAAACAACAATGAAACACAAATAAAAGTTCCACCTACCTTTAGATATTTTGATCCGGATTCTGRRCTACCTTTYTTTTACTATTTTTACCTTTAAAGACAGCAAAAAGTTTAATTAAAGACAAACTAAGTTGTGTTCGCAGCAGAACAACATTATCTTACAATTAAATTRGAAAAGCTCTAATAAAAACAGTCTACTACAGAAAACCTGACTACTTATTAATGAAGAAAACTGAGTGGAATGAACTGAGTTAATTGATTTAACATTTGAAAATGAAACCATATGACATCTGTTGAGAATACAAGAACCGTTTAAATAAAGGTATAATTTATAGAAGAAAACAACAATAATTGAAATTGTATATCAAAAATTACCCACGCCTGATAATAAAAAGTCTAGTTCACAGCAGCACGACGCACATTTTATATTTGTAATGTTTTCACATTACACGTTATTAAAGCTTTTTGTTTGATGAATATATTGTCTACAGTAGATATCTACTGTAGCAAATCTGATTCGTTTACCAATAATATACCAATTTAAATTAATTTTACAAGTATAAAATTTGAAAAAGATAAGAATCGGTCCAGAATCGCAAACCTCCCTCGTCGTTTCTCGTCGAATGCAACAATATCATAAAATATAAATCAATAATATGGGACTAACAATCTACATCCTGGGGGCAACCTGCGCGCAGGCACGGCTGCAGGGGCAAAGTAATGCCAAACTTACCCCAAAGCTGCATCGTGCCACCTGAAACGGAAGAAAAACATTATTTAGTATGTTTTTCATAAATATTTTTAGTATAATTTAAACTTACTCCAAAGCCCTATTATTTGAAAGGAGCAAAAAAAAAGAAAATTAGAGAATGCCATAAAACTGATCTGAAACTGAGGATAAGAAGCGCAACTTATCTTGAAAAACCAAACTCAATTCAAGCTATGAGATTTATAGATGAATATTTTTCTTACCAGCTCCCGCCCGTTTTCTACCCATTCATCCTCAAAAAGCTGGCACTACACTTGAACACTCTGTACTTGAATACACAATAAAGACCCACTCCAAATTAAAAACTTTAATCCCGCTGTTAGATCCCGCGCCCTTAACGTAGACGTAGAGGCTCTAAATCACACTTTATATCCCGCCTACAAATACTATACTGGCAAGAGAAAAATCCACTTCGTTCGTTACCCTACAATTAGTTAGCAAACTGAACATTTGGGAAACTTTTCCAAAAAGCTGACGCGATATTGTAGTTTGTACCACCTTCCGAACGCATCCAAGCTACAGAACTAACATGATATAATCGTTTGCTCGATCGTCCCTTTTGGATGAGTCATCCATCTACTTTGCAGTTCGATTTCACTTTTTTTTTGTTGTTGACTTCAATTCATCCAATCTTTATGAAATATTGAGCCGTTTTTTTCGGAATGGCAGTTCCACATTTAAGCCATATACCTACCATGATTTGTCAATGCTTCGTTGCTCGCACCGTTAAGAGCAACTCGACATAACGGGGTTTTCATATCTGCTCTCTATAAAATTAACATTTTGCTTGATTTTTATGAAACATTGAGTTTGTGCAACTTGAAATGATGTGTAAAAATGGTCTAAATTGCACATCCACGTTCAAACCACGTTATGATTTGCGAATTATTTTCTCTGGCCTTACCGCTGCAGCGAGAGCGACGAGAACTGATCTATACGCGAAATCTCAGATGCGTTTCTTCGCTAGACTTTTATGAATCTTTGGACTTTACAGTTTGTTCTGTTGTATAAATCCTGTCTAAATGGCAGCTGCATACTTAAAAATTATTAAAAAAAATGTATTGCGAGCCTCGCTCCATTGAGTGCGGCGTGGAATAATAACGTAGTGAGTTGACATCCTCACATGAGATCTCGGTTAGCCTGTTGCTAAATTTCCATAAAACTTTGCACTTTTGCAGCTTAATATGTAATATAGTAGAAGGTGGAGCTTGGAAATTATTTGTAGAAGGTTCTTTTCCCGTACCATTATATATTAATATAACAGCGTCGGAACGTTTTGGAATGAGCTCGCTTTTGCTTAGTGTTAATGAAGCTTTAAGCTTTTGCGTTGTTGTTACTTAATTGTTCTTAGCCATTTGGAGCTTTGGGCGTCTGCTCCTCAAGTTTGGCAAGTTGCAGATGCCGATTTATCGATTCATTTTTCGGCACCGCGTATTTGTGCGTATTAAAAATTATTGTTGAATCCGCAAAGGAGTTGTATGCCTTCCTTTAATAGCCATCAGTGGCAGTATTGGAAATAGCCTGCGATTTATCTTTTAGCAGGAACTATTCGTAGTTTTTGATGAATTTCTACACTACTGGATGGAGCACAATATCGCACATTTATGAAGTGAAGCATCGCTTGCAAAATAATGGTAGTTTTCACACAAAAAGCCAAAATTTACATCATTATTTTTGACAGTTTTAACGTAACATGGCGTCTCCGTTGAACTTTTGTCAGATAAAGTTCAAATTGAAACAGGTTGGATTATACCTTTCACGTCAGAAAAGAAATTTTTATTATCGAAGAACCAGAGTAAAACCACAGCTTAAATATCATATCATATGATATATAAGCTGTGGTAAAACTGTGCAGTAAATGTTCAATACGCATTCATTGATTTGGATGCAAACTGTGATTTATATAAATCTCTATTTAATATACATGGTCGTTACTACCGCACTGTTGCCTAACGTGTTTCTTCAAGCGATAATGGCCTGGCTGTCATAGAATAAAAGAAGTTAGGTTAGTACATAATATGACACTTTGAATTGTTTACTTTTTTGGACTTTGTTATTTTGATTTGTTTAGCTTATATTTTTAGTAGTGTGTTCTAGTGTTTTTCCCCATTATATGCATAACTTTTAAGAATTTGATTCGAGTAAGTTTGATTTTAACAGGTCTTCTTGCTTTTGTGTCTTTTGGAATAACCACATTGAATCACAAAATAACAACAATTTGAGCTATAAAACTGATTACAGTTCAATATAGCCATAAACAATCAGCGATAGCGGCATGTGATTTGATGCTGTTATTCTGAAGCGCTATTTCTTAATATAACGTTCGTCGATAGCGTGCGCCTGTTATAATATAAAGGTTTTACTGATACAACACACCAGTTGGAGCCACATAACGTGTTTGACGGATAACACGCACGTTAAAGTTAACGTGAGTGATACAGCACAGGGCTGAATGTCGATATTCAAACTCGAAATTAACGGGAAAGTGCAAACGTAGATTCATTATTCTTTGTGAAACTACTGTAATTAGGTCAACGTGAAACTTAATATATTGCTAAAATGCAAGAAAGCTGCACTGATCTGGTGGCATGTGAGCCTGCAGAAGATCAACAAGAATATTTAAGCATTAACTACACTGACCATTTTCCTGATTCTAATACGAAAGCTGATACAGATCAAAAATGCAACAATTTAAATAGAAAATTCACTTGTATCAAGGGTCCAAAACACCCAAGTACATCAGAATCTATGAATAATAGTAAGCATTTTGAGAAGTACGAAAGGTTGTTCATTAGGCTTATCAAGCTTGATAGTACTAAATTGAGTCAGACTGGACCCAGCAGTAATGCTAAAAACAGTTCACAACAATTATCATCGGCTAAGCTCGACTTCAAAGCAAATTTAACTGAAAGCCCACTTAAAAGACCAAAAATCGAGAGTAAAGGAGGGAATTTGCTTAATGTAAACAAAACTGAAAGTGTACGAATGGAGGAATTGCTTTGGAAGCAATTCAAAAAACGTAAAGAAAAATTAGGACCAGATGGAAGTTCAGGAGAAAATATAAAAGAGTCTGGAATTAGTGAGTTTGAAATTGAACCATATGAGTACAAAAAAACCGAAAAATCAGTGTGAGCAGATAATTTGATTTTGTGTACACAAAATACGCATTTGTTTAAATGTTTCAGATATGAAACATACGTTAAACTAGTAACGGCTAATGGCAAAACAGATCATTGCTGCCTGCTTTGTCCATTCGTGGGGCAAAGTTTCCATCAAATCTCTCTGCATTACAAGTTTAAGCACAAGGAGATACCGATTGAAGAAATGCACTTTTGTAATGTGAGAGGGTGTCAATTTAAAACTATCCATAAAGGTAACTTTTTTACAATAAATTTCGTTTCGTTTGTCAAACTTACTTGCTAAGAATAACCAGGAAATAAAAAAGCAGAAGGCAAAATTGTAAATAAACAAACCCGACTATAACAAGGTCAATCAATTATGTTATAAAATGTATGTTTCGAATTAAAATACAATAACAAGCGCCCTTTTTTGGTACACATTGTATATCAAGTTGATGCAAAATTTCACATTCCTACGCCAAACTGCAAGTTAAATACATAAAGTTGAATATTACGGTTTTTTATTTGTTTCACAGGGTGTGCGTCGAGGTAGTTCAGCTACTTCGTAATTAATTCTATGACTAATTATAGAAAAATATATTATTTTCATATATTCTGAAAAAATCATAACGGTTTATGAACTATCAAAGGTTTTAATTAACCCACATAATAAGGTGTATATTAACTAAACTGCTCAACAAAATGCACGTTACACGGACATATTTTCCCTATCTTTCGAACGGGTTAAATTCTGATTGCTTGGAGCGATTTGGTTTCTGTATGAAGCGCTATGTTGCCCCATTTGTATTCTGTGAGGCAGTGTTTTAATTGAAAAAATCTTAGATACGTTTTCTACAGGGCGGCAAATCCAAAATTTCGGACAGTTTCAACTCGGTGAAGAAGGTTTTCAAATATTTCGTTCGTTTATGGAACTCGGTAAAATTATTTTTTTTCTGAAGCTGGCTGTAAAGTTTTTATCTTTAGTAAACGAGATGCGCAAAAAATTCAAAAACTTTGTTCGATATGGGATTTATCTTAATGCCCTAAAACGTTTTTGTTCCACGAATACGTGGAACATTCACCAATTTTGCATTGTTTTGTTTGCCATTCTGTAGAAAACGAATCTGAAACCTATTTTTTTTGCAAAAACAGGCACTAATCGAAAAAGAATTGCACTAAATAATGCTTCTAACAGAGATCAATTCACTCGCAGCAGTCAGAATTTATCCAATACCAAAATTAGTCCAAATTAATTTTTGTATGCGCTAATCCAGGTATGTTCAAATGGCACATGCGAAGACATGAATTGGTAGGCAATAAGCTGATATCCGCTGAATTTACCTGTAACCAGTGTGGTAAAATTTTTGAAAACAGAAAGGGATTTTTAATACACTTGAAGCACATGCATAAAGAACAATTGGCTCAGGTAAGCAATTTTTAGATTTTTTTACTTCACCTATATGATCGTTTTATCTACAGAATGATTTTCCTTGCTCCACCTGCAAATTTAGAGCCTCTATCAAAGTGGAACTGGAGTCGCATATATACAAATGCCATATGCCAAGCACCGCTAAACCTAAATTTACTTGTAACATTTGTGGATTTACGACTATTTGTCAAGGTAAGTAAAGTAAAGTTTATTTTACATTTTTTAAAGAATAAAAACATAAAAATAAAGTGTATTTTCTTTTTGCAGATTCTTTTCAGAAGCACTTAACAAACGTTCACTTGAAAAACAACTGACAATATCTACAGATTCTTTATATTATACAAACTTTTTTCTACACTACTTGTTAGTATTAGTGGTAACAATGTCTATGATGAGGCCTTATTTCAAGCAGCAATATGAAAGGTTTATTTATTGTTTATTTGCACATTTAATTAAGTAGAATATGTTTAGAATTGTGCGCATCAAGGAATATATGCTATAGACACCAAACAGTTACGTTTCCACATTTGCACCTTTCAATCGAAATCCGCCTCCATGAATCTTTTTATAAACATAGGCGTTAATCGAATTTATACATATTTATACATAACATTAAAAACCTTTGTAACTATATTGATTGAATGTATGAAACTTATAACATTTTTACAACTCAATAAAACGGTAAGCCGTATTTTGTATCACAGTACCTTCCCGCACTTTCTCAAACTTCCTTTTCAACAAGATTACTCATAATGAGCATTACGTAGAATATAAGTTAACTGTGTACATTTGGAGAGAAACAAAGCACCACTTTTTATTTATTTTATTTGTAGTTTTACATTACATTATTACATATATGCTATATCATACGACATTCTCAATTTACTGCATCCCTTTTTAATCAGTAACAATAAAAAAAGACAATATGACTAAATTCTACGTTTTTTCTTTTGAAAAATAATTGCCATATTTCAACATGCCTTCCGAGCATTTTAAAATACCGCAATTTCGCCTTAACCTTAGGTAAACAAGTACAATAGCAAAAATAACAAAAAGGAGCGTTTGAAAACAGAAAGACTCAGATTATATTCGGAAATTAATCGGGCCTGTCTGTTATTCAAACGCTTTGGTTCAGAGTTTACCATGTTTTAGGAGGTATTTTATGTATTGAATGAACGTAGAAGCTTGGTCATTGAAAAATCGTAAAAACGTATTTCTCGATATTCACCTTCAACGCTTCACCTGTATGTGTTAATTAAAAAATGCGTTCATCATGCATTACGTTACATTTCGAATAAAATGTATCGTAATTACATAAGCAATGAATTCATCATTTAATGCAATATAAATGATCCATTCAATGCTTAAGCAACATATCAGCTGTACATTCCATTTGGTAATCCAATAAAACAATTTAATTGATTTTATGAGGCCTTATAAAATATACAAGGTCCGATCGACAACGTTTTATACGGGGTTCTCGCGAAAGATCCTATAATACAAAAACAAGCGGGTCATAAAAATGAAGACAGCTACATGCATTATTTGTGCCCAAAATTCAAAAAGAGCGTTCAGTTTCGTCAGATGTATAGAGTAGTTATATTTGTGACAATTGTTCCTAACGTTATAAAAAACACATTCACAAAGCCTATGAGGGTGCTCTATCCCAAAAAACCAATCGGTTCAGAATTAGTTTGTTGAGATGGCAAAACGATTTTTGATATAAAAGGTTTTTATATACATTGGGATAGTCACCTTTGCACAGGTAACTTCTCATTTTTCAGCAAATGCTTCATTTAAATTTATTATTGTTTATGTAAAACGACAATGATGTAAAACAAAAACTAGGTCCAACCATTTTATAAAGGTACGACACAAGTTTCGAGGCAGTTTTTGAGCCCAAAGAATTTCAGTCCTAGTAAGTTGAATTTTCTCCTTTAAACAGAAACCCAAAACGAAAAAACCCAACAGGAATGAAATTCATTTAAAACCATCCCCGAAAATTTGACTTTCCTATCCCAAAGAATGTAAAAACCCGACCATTTTGCAACCCTGGCGGCTTTTCATATATACAGTACATACTTTGTCTTACGTAACTAGATTAATAAATAATTTCTTAAAAAAAAATTATACACTTATATTAAGCACGAAGATCCATTTTCGGAAATTGGGTCAGACGACGATTATTTTTATTTATTAGTGTTTCAGATGGTTTTGTATTAAATTGGCTAACTGTCCCTTAACAATATAATTTCCATAAAATAGAGATCGTGAAGTTAACGAAAAAACGCACCGAAATAAGTCAGAATACGTGGCTCTTAGGATAAGTTATGTGTTCAAAATTAAACCGTTCTTCACACTTAATTGTTTACGCAAAACATTTTTACAGGTCAAGCAAAAAGCTTCAATAGTAAATAGTTTTATTACTATATTGTTATCTACGTAAGCTTTCAAAGAAATCAAATTAATAAAATTTCGGTTCCATGCAGTAAAACCTTTGACTTCTACCTAATGATTATTGCAATATTAAAGAAGGCAAATATTTCTCGGTTTTTAGTAAATAATTCATTTCGGATTTATGCCCTGCAAGTGCATTTTTATTATTCACGATTATTCTGCTAGGTAAAACAAAATTTAAAAAACAAGTAATAATCAAAACAATTGAATATTATTATCTTGTTGATCAAGAAATAAAAAATAGAAGAAATTGGTAAAAAACCGGGCGTTTTTCCAAATCGTTGAGTGTACTATTTGAAAGTTTTCCGATTTTATTAATTATTTAGTAAATTTAAAACAAGATATTAATACTTAATTTTACAAAGTTTTTACTGCAAGATGTGTTCTCAGAACCAATATTTCTACCTAACATACTTAAATGATCACTGATCATAGTGATTTTTGAAAAAATGTAACAAAAAACTTGATAACAAAGGAGTTAAACTGAACAAAAATATAAAGCTTATAGTTAAGTGTAACTTTGCAAAGACACCATTTTTTAAAAATGGCGCGGCAGTATTTTCCTTCTTTTGCCAATAGTGTAGATTTTGTTGGTCAAGACTGATACCGTTGGGATTGTACAAAAATAAGAAGTAAACTATAACGGAATCATAAACAACCTTCAATTGACTATGAAACCAATATCATAGTAGCTGGCTTGAAAATTTCGTTACATTTACTTTCTTTTTGCACGCGAAAAATCCCACCATTTATGGCACCAAAATAACCCTTCTGGTTATTTATATGACTAGCTATCTTGTTCTTAGCAGACAGACAAATCTCAAACTTTGGAATTTTGAGCTATCTGTTAAGAGTAAGGGAAACGGGAAACACGATGACTTTTTATTCAGATTTTCAGAAAGCAACGTTGAAGTGTTCAGTTATAGTATTAACTATTTGGTCTTTTTTAGATGCCTAAGATTTTTTGTACTATCCTTAACAAAAATCTTTTTATATATATTTGCACAGAGAGATGTGAATATCAACTTCTATAACTCGTCATATTTTTGATACATACAAAGTGATAATCAATGTTTGTCTACTCACAATCCCAGCTATACAAGTTGGATTTCGACAAATTCCTCAAGCTCCTTTTTCTTCACGTTCTTGAATCTTATGAGTTATTTATGATTACACTGATCTGAATAAAAACTTGTTCCATTCTCACCTACAACACTTATAAGTGATTTGTTTTAGTTGAACTCAAATAAACCAAAACAATACATCTAAATATTGAACTATTTTTATTCAGTTGACACGTTAACAATTAAATAAATAAGTCACTAAATATACATACACACATACAGGCCTATAAACTTTTTGGAAATAATCACAAACATCATAACTTAATCTTACAACTAGCATAGTATAACAAAGCTGAAACTTGTTTGTCTAAAAAATAATGTAGATATAGTATAAAGCCGGTGATAAAAAAGGAAACAGAAAAGTGGAAACGGTATTTGTACACATACACTATAAATAAAAAATATATATATAAATTACAAGTTCAAAGTTCCAATAATAAAAATGCACATTCTTTTATGAATAACATGGCAACAATGATCCTGTGTTCGGTACTGAAAAATCGCCTAAGTTTAGTGAATGATGAAAGAATGAAGTAATAACGTGTGAAAAACAAAAACAATCACTGCGTGATGTAGGTGAGATTTTAACGGAAATTTTGGCTTAGGTGTTATGCACACTCTTTTTAGTTCCAGATGCGCAGGAAACTGTCCCAAGAACCCGTACCTACGGCCATTCCATTTTCTGTCACACCCAGACAACTTACTCTGTTATCATGTCCAGCCAGAATTCCTACAGTAATAAATAAACAAAAAAAACATTACTTAGTTGGAAGAAAACAAAATCAACTGAATCGCTTTGCGTTCATCATCACTGGATTATTTTTTTGCGCCATGAAAATTGTAACATGTTTTAACTCCAATTTTAAGTGGATTGTTCAAAGTGTGGCATTTGATATACGAAAGTAGTCTGCAGAAAAATTGTATTAATTTAGCACCACTGTACATGCAGAATTTCGTATTGCCTAAATAATTGCTTAAAACACCACAAATGTGGGTTATTCTTTTACAATGCCACTGCTGTTTGTTGTTACGACAATTAGAAATTCAGAAACTAGTTGGAAAATATCGAATTTCTCAAAATATTTAGTGACAAGCAGATCACTAATTAGTAGCTCCGAAGCATCAAGTAATAAAAAATACAAATACATACCGGCTCTTTCGGTTTTCATTGAATCCCATACGTTGCAATTGAAGTCATCGTATCCTGCCAATAGTAATCTACCAGATTTACTGAAAGCTACGCTGGTGATGCCACAGATGATATTATCGTGACTATACATTGCCAACTCTTGATCCGCTCTGCACAATTAAAAGAAAATAACACATATAATACCTTCAAATGCCATCAAAGAAAAATTAACAACGGCAAGGTGACCTCTGCACCCCAAATTTCTCAAGTTGCACAATAAAAAATTACCTAATGTCAAATAAACGGCACGTAGCGTCGTCGCTACCTGTCGCAAAAGCAAATCCATTCGGGAAGAATGTAACAGCATTTATGTCCGATTCGTGTCCTGGAAACGTTTGCTTGCAAACACCTTCTCTTATATCCCAGAGTTTTGCAGAGGCATCGCAAGCACCTGCAAAGACACGGATTATTAATACACTAAGATATATCTTGAGTTTTAGTGAAATCACAAATGTGTTACTTCAATGCTATTAAACCGGTAGCTTCTTGTAGGTACATAATCAATCTATTCCAACTAAGAAACACGGAATTTATTACTAATTCTAGTGCCCATAAATTATATTTTAATTTTTAGAAGGTTATTGTTAAACTATTTACATTATATCCATCATAGTATATTGTGAAATGTTTCGCTATTGCTAAACGAAAATATTAATTAACATGTCAATATGATATTCGGACTGCAGCAAATATATTTCCATGCATGGAAAAGCAATGATATGTTGTCATATAAACAGCCAATCAATTATTTGCCATCAGTATAGTAATAAAATGCCAAAATTATTGCATAAAATGAATCGTTTCAAATTTACTGCACATAGCCAAAGCATAAATATCTTTAAAGTGTCAGAATTTTGTAAAATAGTGCCGGATGTATTTTCTAAAAATTATAAGTCAGACATTGATTTGCTTGAAAAAGAACCGACATAAGTACAGGGTATTTGGTACTTGTATTATTGCGGTATTTTATATGTACATAAGGCACATTTTTATATTAATAACTTCTAACGTTCCACAACTATTTTTATGCAACGCAAACGTCCCAAACATTGTCTTCGATCTAGCCCATGTTATATACACTTACTTATATATTCGTCTTTTGACTTTTTTGTAACAATATACGTCATTTTTCAATTAATGTCTGCCCCAAAATATCTGTATCTATATATCGGTTTATAACGTTCTACCGATGTCTTCCGATTTTCATTTTCTATCTGTCTCGATAGTTCCATAAATCGCCTTCAAGCTATCTGTCTAAGTTCCCTGTCGATATCTTCCTCCAGCTCTTCCGGGCGTTCTTGAATTCTTTGAATATGATCATACCATGTTAATGGTTTGATTTTGATCTCATCTGTTATAGAATGCGTTATTATCATTTCTCTCACTGTCTCGTTTGCTATGCGTTCTCTTCTCGATATTCCTGTCGCTCGACGCCAAAAATCCAGTTCGGTTGCTTTTAGGCGTTTGGTCATCGCTTCTTTCAATAGCGGATTTTGGATTCGAAGGTGATTATACTTCTTTACATAAAAAATCTCTTTTACAGAATGTCAATCTTTCAAGTTTCCACTGGCTTTAGTTTGGTAGTTGCATTTTCAAATCAACATTTACGAAGCGCCCAAAATTAAGGATTTTATGCGATTTGAATGAACTTTTGAATCAATGTTGACGACATTTAGAGTGCACTCTTCTTTACTGTACAACTACTATAAACTTGTAGAGTATTTTTCGTTTCTGAGAAATTTAGTTTCGAAAAACGCGATTCAAAATGTGCCCGGCAACAGTTTTACAAATCCTGAGCGACATTTTCTTAACCATGAGTGAAGTTCGAAATTTTGACGGCATTTACACCACACTCTTCTTTTCTGAACGCAAAACTCTGAACTTGTAGAGTATTTTTCGTTATATAATAACTCAATACGTCTCACTGTGCCGCGCTTTTAATTACCCCAGGAGCGGATTAAAGCTTTACGAGGCCCGGGACTGGAATTTTTAGGAGCAATATTTTATTAAATGGGTGATACTACACCGCTGAGTTACTGTGCCAGTGCGTTAGGTTGACGCAACAAGCCATTTAGGCAACACTGTGCCAACTCCCGAAATTTCACTGAGTTACTGCCTAATTTAAACAATGAATCCTGATGTTGTGAAGCGCGGTTATGCAGTGAACTTGTGCAGTATTGTGATTGAACTCGCAGAATCTTTAAAAAAACATCATTTTTCGGGCTTTCTGTAGTCCTTAAACAACTTCTCAATTAATTGTTAATTATATAAACAATACCATTCTTATTTCAAGCCTTCATACATTTAATATACTTTTTTCCCTTTTCATTCGCAATCATAAAATTAACGGAATTTTGACAAAGTAATTGAAATAAAAGTTACCTGAGACAAAAGTTCGCATGTCCGGAGCGAGTGATAGAGACATAACATCTCCAGTGTGTCCTAGAAAACTAGTTACTTGCTGACCAGTCTCTATATCCCACAGAGCACAGGACATGTCCCCTGAACTGGTTACAATCTGGTTATCGTCAAGAAACCGACAGCAAGACAAGTATCCTGTATGGCCAGGTAACTCCCGGCTTACTCGTACGTTTCCTGTAACCAAATAATAAGATGAATCTTCCAGCCAAACAATGTGAATTTCAGGCGTTACCTTCTCTAGTTTTTAAACTATAAATAGAGCATATGTTATCTAATCCTCCACATGCTACATAAGATCCTGAGGGCGCATAGGCGCAGGTCATTACCCATGAAGATCTAAGAGGTATGGCATGAACCTGTAACAAAAACAAAATTGGCTTTAGCTGCCATCGCTTGAAACTGGTAGTTTTTCGTAGAAAAACTCGTCAGTTTTCGAATGTGAATAGCTGGTTTTGCCATTGCATTCATGAACGGTTAGTATTACCTTATTAGTGGTGTGACTATCCCATACAATGAGCTTGCCATCCTGAGAGGCTGAGACCAGATTTCGGCTATCTGAACCCCAGTGCATGGCATAAATTTTGGCCAAGTGACCCCTGAGGGTGCGGCGAGTACGCATTTGTACTCTTCCTATGGGCTCTAGGGTGGCTGTGGCGGCCGCCAGATTAGTATCTGCCGCCGCTTTCCTGGCATCCTGTAATTTACGAGAATATGAAACTCACTTATTTTAACGAGGCATTTTCGATAATAGTCCGCCTTGTATCTAAAGTTTAGACCATAAAATAAAAAGAAGTTCCAGCTGTTGGAAATTCAAATAGACGGGCATAAACACTTATAATAGTTCGATCTGTCTGTCCGGGTTTTCCTTCTACGAAAATAACTTGAATTTGATGATTTACTTAATCAAACCCTAGTTTACTGCATGTACCGCAATATTTCATAGAAAAGCACTAAATTAGCATCAATAACAACTCAGTCAGTTGAAAAGTTGTTGCTTTCAGACTCAAAGGAAAGGTACAGCAAGATTAAAACATGCGTTTGGATCTTTATACGCATTAAAAAAATCCTGAAACTAAATGGCAGTGGTAGATTAGCAACTACCTTGATATTGTACATTACACAGGCCAATATTAATATTGTTAAATTATTTAAGTTTGCCTGACTGACAATGGCTGGTACCTATTGTATTTACTGTACAATAGAACGGACAAAAACGCATCTTTTACTCGATAAGCTCTTACAAATAATGTTAGTCGGTTGCAGATTAGAATTGGCTGACATTTATTGCAGGTTCTAAAAACTCATACGTGTCTCACTTTTATCATACAAAAAGTGTTAAACAATAGCATGAACAATGCCTCGAAGTCATACACTTAAAATGCTTAAAACTCATTCAGTCAAGTTGATGCATCCGTTGAAGAATTGTAATAATTATTATTTACCAGTGAAAAAATACTTTATGATTATCCAAAAAACTAAGCAAAATTTGAAATTTGGGCATTTGTAACAAAACTAATCGTACTTACAGCGTGTTCCGAAAGTAATGGTTAAAAAAGGTATTATACAAGGACTCAAGATCGTATAGATTTTTTCCTATCTAACTTACTTGAATCGAATTGAGAAAAACAATACTGACGTTTGTAAAGTAATACTATTTCTTGTAAATGTTGACTACCTTGCTCAGTAAAACCGTTATTTTTCGACCATCAGTTTGTTAAAAAAATACTTTTTATTAAAATTTTTAGCGTTTTCCAAACCAACGCAACACAGCAGCATATTAAAGAACTGATATTCATGGGAATAACTAGTTAATTTGTCCAGTTTAACGTCTCGCACTTGCATAATTATGAAAACTGTTAAATTGCATAAAATGCGTTTATTTCGAAAAAATATCAATTAACAAATAAAACGAGAAGCTAAATAATTAGTAGCAACAAGATAGACGCCTCGAACTGTAGAAGGGCCGAAATCCATTTTACAATCTTAGTAAAAAAATTAAATAACCGCCAATACAAGGATATCAAAAGAGAAGTCATTGCTTTCAAGATATGCATTACGGAGGTTTATTTCCAGCACAGAAAAAATGTATATACATATATTTGTTAATAAATATAACAGCGTATTTTGGGTAGGTTTTCAATAGAACAATTCAACATTTAAAATGTATAAGAATGCCAAAAATGCAGCACGTTTACATTCCTTGGAACTCTAAATAAGTCCATTCTTCTTCGCGAAAACGAACGAAATTGAATGTATGCTTTACTACAAATTGATTTTTCCCAGAATGTGAAAGAGCTCGCACTTAGCTGATTGCTAACTGCGACTGCTAATTGTTTTCTGATTGCTAAGTCACACTGAAGACAATAAATGCACAGAATAATTAAGTTTTGATTTTGATCGAACCAAGCACTAATATCAAACATGGAAAATAATTTAAAGGCTTTGCACAGATGAATCCTTGATTTTAAACTTTTGTACGAACTGCGTATGAACTAATAGTGTGAAAAATAACTATATTTCAACAGTTTTACCAACTTTTCACCCGAAAGCCGTGCAACACCAAGCTGTGATAGAGATTTATGATAAATTGTAAAATAAGAGCATTGCAGATGCAAGTATAATATTGCCTTTTGACATAACATTGCCTTTTGAACTCAATTAAACACAAATTTTGGAACACTAAATTCTTCTCAACTGATTAGCGTGACGAATTTATAGTTCCATTAGTAAAACACAATAGTTTTTTGTATTTGCCATTTAGTTTCACCTGTTACCATTGTTGATTTTCGCATAAAGCAACAGGTATTTAGGTCGTGTTAATTACTAACACGCTATTAAAAGTTTGTTTGATTATATCAGTTGCTGAGATAAATATTTTTTTACAATTTTAGCTGTACTCTCAAATTACCAGACATCTCCAGAAATTACTCTAATTTCTAATCGCCCTGTATAAAAAATGTGTAAGAGATGCACTTTTATATGATTAAAACATATTTTAAATTTAATGTGCGGACTGCTTTCGGACTTGTAAAAATGTTGTATTCAAGCAGAAGAAAATGCTGCAAATTTGAACCTAAATCCAGCCAACCAGATCGATCGTACGATGTGAAGGCAAGTATGTACGTATCTTAGCTTTCATATGATAACACACATTGTTTCTTCAACATAACTAAAATATTAAAGAAAACATTTTTCAAATTGAGAGTACTATTTTCTCGGCAATGAAAAGTCTAGCGATGAAGAGCTGCCCACTCGAAGTAACCTAACTTAATTTGCTGGAGCCTGAGTTAAACATGTTGGCAATAAAATGCAAACACGAATTAGTGATTAGCAAACTGACAAATTGCTTTCTATTATGCAATGATAATTAACCATTATTTTAATGTTACTTACCTACCTTCTCTACTGCATGCAATGCATGAATTGTTTTATAAACAATGTTAGAACGACCTACACTTAATATATTTTCCTTGCTGTTATTGGAATATTTTCCGCAATTAACAATCCCGATTTCGTAATAGAGTTATGAATATTCGATAATATTGTATAAACCGTACTTCATACCATCCTTACTACAAGTACGCACATATACAAATTTCAACGTGAAATATTTAAGTCTTAAAATAGAAGGAATAAATAAATAAAATTTACCCGGATGGCATTTTTCAGTGTCTCAGCTTCTTGTCTCAAACTATCCAGTTCGTTCATGCTGCTTTGGGGCCTCTATGAACAAAAAACCTGCAAATAAAAACTACAATTAACATTTGCTTTTCATTATTGGCTCATAATCATAAATATTCAATCTACGCACTAATTATATGGTATTGTCTATGTATATTCTCATACTTTATTACATTACAAAAAAAATTGACAGTCAATACACAAAATGTCCCAATACCTAGATGCTTAAGGAATTCACTGTTTGTACATCAGCATATAAATGAAGGCCTGACTCACATAGGAAATCGAGTGACGTGCACTGAGCACAAAACTTAATATTAAAATTAGTACGTTTTATGTTAAAAGCCTGCCAAATTTGATAACACGATGTCCTTAGCTCTTTTTGTATGTTACTGCTTTGTTGAACAAATACAAATCAGATAAATGATAGCACTGTTTATATATAGAAAATCTAATATCTAGAACTTCTACATATATGTAGTTGGAAACTGACTTTAAAAGGATTGAGAGCACTTCATGTTTTTTTTTTCTGATAAACTTGTACTGTAAATGTATTTAATCTTTCTGGCATTCTATCAATCATGATGAAGAGATGTGTCGCGACAATCATTTGTGCAGTCACATATATGCAAAGAAAAACTCATCTATGTTAAGATAACGTTATCGACAGGTACATACATCTAATAAATTGAGTGTCAATTGAATTTAGAGTTTTAATTATTTCTACGAGATATCGAATGATAAAGGATTTGACAATCTTTACTTTATTATTCAATTAGAAGTTTTGCTAAATTTATGGAGATTCTAGATGAAAAATGTTCCATTTTGCATGTCTCAAAATAGGATAGTTTTACAGATGATAAGGTACATTTTAATGGCATAGAAATGGTGAACAAATAAACTGCAACAAAATTTTCTTCGAGACAAATACAAACTTGAAATAAATAATACATTTCACAAATAACAGACCGTTAATTTGGGCAAAATACTTTGATATAAAATGTAATATTGCTTCGGAGCAATTATGCCAGTAAGATCAATTTCACTTTCAGACCCAACATCAGTATATTCAATACTCAAGTGAAACTTGCAATATCTGATTTGTTACAAATATTTACCTTTGGTTAGGTCAAAGAACTCATATTTACGCCGGTAGCCAATGTGAAACATCGGCAAAAAACATGGGTTTCAATTGGTAGAATAATAAATAATTCCACTGCATTTCAGCTTAAAAATATTGAATACCGCTATTAACAGATTTAAGCGTTCATAAAAATAAGTAAGTCAGTCATCAAGTATTCGTTCATTAAGTAAGGCAATTAATCAGTTATGCATTTCCAAACTTTAACAATTGGAGGGTGTATAAGGTAGACATGAAAATTGTGCAATGAACTCACACTAATATTATGTTAAAATGATGAATACACTAGAGAAAAAAACAGCAGGCCGAGCAGACATAAAAAATGAGAGCGATATTTATCGAATTTGTACACACAAAAAGTATAACGGTAATATAAAAATTCCTGATTTAAATAAATGTTTGAAGCTTGTACAAGAGCTTACAAAAAAAATTCATAGCGCTATAGAACGAACATCCTTAACACATACAACCCACCTTAAGTACTAAATAAAGATGCCCTTAGGAATCTAATCTCATTTTAGGTTCTTATTAATCATTAAGCTAACAACTTCTCTAATGAGGTTTATCTTAGAAAAATGTTTCTCAAAATACACACAGGCTCGACTAGATATGCAGATAAACAAACAAAAAGCCACATTTATTTGCAGTAGTTAGACAGTTTCTTCCTGTTTACGTTAATATGATTTCCGCATTGAAAAAAATTGTTTTAAGTTTTTTATGGCCGATCTAAATAGGATACGGATTACACAAGAACGCCCAAAATTCCAGCTAGTGGTGCAATGAAATTAAATGGGTCATTTTAAGCAAGCGTAGAAGATGGTAAAACTGACGTTTTTGTATGCAGGGTGTTACAAATTCGAGATGTTAGCATAGGGTATCGTAAATCATAAGGGGATGAGAAGTCGTTTAAATTAAAGTTAGTTAAAGTTGATTATGGTTGGCCGAAAGCGACACACTGAATGCCAGATCTGATAGTACCATCTTGTAGAGAGTAAAAATGTGTTCTAATAATGTGACATTTATGTTAAAATATTTATTCAGATAAGCTCCGACAAAAAATTAAATCATTTGAGCAAATTTCGGTTTTCGTCTAGGTTTTACGGCTGTACTAGACATTTTACAACTTTCTACAACAACGTATCTCTTACGGTTTATAAGATACCAACAGCCTGTATATCGCTCTTTTTAATACAAGGAGTTTTTTGAAAAATGCTATTAATGAAAATATGGGTTATAAGATTAGGAATTAATCAGCATAATGTTTGCAAGAATGGGAGATCGGATACACAACATAGTATAACCTATCTACATAACAAGTTATAGATTCTAATACATATGATAGCTGCACCTGTTAAAACCGGTTCTTTCACTTCTTATTCGCTTGTAGAATTTGATCCAACCGATGAAATCGGTTACAATTAACGACAACAAAAAACAGCTACCTAAAATAAAAATTTTAATTTCGGAAACTTCCGTTTGGGTTCAATTATTTTAAATAGTAAGTCAGTCATTTGTGGAAAATTACGTGTAGTTTGGAGTGTGATTTCGTAACTAAAAAAAAAACAACAATGTTTTCCGACTCGTTATATCAGGATTTGCAATAAAATGTTTAAAGGCAAACTAAAAGCACCAATGTTTGCAACATCCTGTGGAGATGAAGAGACTTGCTCAGGGTTTATTGTCCTACATTTTAAAGCACTGTTCTACCCATAAATTATTATTTTTATCGACTCGATATCAATGCATACAGAAGTTTTATGTTAACATATACAGGGTGATTCAAATGCAGAAAGTTTAGGAAGTGATTGGTGGCATTATTTTAAGATGAAAAGTTATAATAAGCTATAATAGAACATGTTTCTACTGAATAAAACAAGATATTCCATATTTTTTTAGAAAACATTTGTGAGCCACTAAATTATGTTCGAATACCAAACAAAAAAGCTCTGCTGAGTTTTCTTCGTCGAACGCATAATTTCGAAAAGAAAAATAGTTTTAAGGCATATAAAATATAGATAAGCAGATATAGATAGATAATTTAATTAAACTCATAGTGGGCATTATCAATCCTCAAAACTTTCTTTTTGCTTTCTATCGACTTCACATATCGACAGACATATTTTTTTAAAGCGCACAAACGCCAGTAAATTGTATCAATAAAATTAACATAAATAAAGATTTCTTTCTCTACATAGACAATAGACAATTTCTATTTGTTCACATTCTTCTCACCCATTGATTTTTTTATACGGGGGATTACAATTCATTCTGAACTTAGTTGTGCAATGAAGTTGATTGAGGCACTTGAAACGAACTTATTCCGACGTAGTCGGTTGACTTTGTATGCTACTTATTGATTATGAAAATGGGTATATTTCTTTGAGATCAACCATTTTTTTCGTTTAATGTGTGATTAAGCATTTGGTTTTGCAAATATTATGACAATAGAGACAGAGGAGACTGTGAAAAAACATGAAATCTGAGTTCTGAAATAAAAAGGTAATAGTTCTATTAAGGGAACACCCTGATAATTGTTCACCTGTCCAAACATGTGTGCATTGAAACATTTACAAATTGAGCCAAATAACTTTTCCGACATTTTATCAGGTAAACTGGTCGTTATTTAAGCGAATTAAATAATACGATAAAATACAGTAAGGAATAAGTTTATACATACAGTGTAGAGAAAATATCTAGAAAAAGCGAGATATTTTGGAAACCGCCTATTCGAAATGTTGAAATTTCCATTGAGTATTGTGGTCAAGTGTGCCGTTTTTCTTAAACTGATATGAATATGTTTTCCTAGTAAAACACTACAAGTTTTTAGAAATTTTTGATTTCCTATTCCAATTCTGAAAAACTATTTAAATGAATTTGGATTCAATTCGGTCTAATTTCTAGACAACATTTTTTGGAAGTCTTTTTTTACTTAATGATCAAAAAAATACTAACATTTTTTTTCAAAACTTAGAATGTTGTGTAATAAAAATATTGAATAATCAACAGTTTTGATGAATTAAAAGTTAGGCAAGCTTTCGTGCAAGTGTTTTTAAGTAAAATTCATTAAAATACGGTCTCCATTCCCTTAAAAACTGTAAAATTTAGAAAAAAAAAGCCCCAAAAAGACTTTTCCAGAATTCCAAGAGAAATTCGAAAATCGATTGAAAAGTAATATTCCATTAGAGAGAGTGTTTAATTTCAGAAAAACAGCACACTTAACAACAATGCAATACTTACTCACTATTGATTTGGGCGTAAGTTCGCACCTCAGTGTATAAAATTTTATGTATACGCGCCGGCGTTCCGCCAGACATTTGCAGAACACTGTATATAAAACATGCCATTGAGAGAGTTATCAATAATACGACTTGAGGGTACTTCAAGAACGAGCAAATCTTATTAAGTACAACTGAATATAAATAATAAATAAAATCCACTAAATTCAAAATTCCTATTTTTAGAACGCATTAATCACTAAGCCAGCCGTTTTCTAATTACAGTGACGTTTTATCATCGGAAATGTTAAATTATTTTTAAAGATCAGAAAAACAAACATTTTGGCTGTTCTACGGAAAAAAATAATTGCGTGAAACGTGGTAAGGAAAAGCAGGATCTTGATTGTAAAAGAATGTACATACCGCAAATCAGCTGAACTTAATAATAACATGTCACATCCTGCCTGTTAAAGTGAGGATAGATTTTTTTGAGACACACCTAAAATGAAAACTCGATTCAGTGCGTCAGACATGGAGTAAGACAGAATAAGAGTTTACAAGAACCAGCGATTGGAGTTCAAAGAACAATAGACAAACGTGAAACTTGGTGCGAATCTTTGGGGTGTTTTGTGGAAACAGTCACAAAATATGCTAGATGCTCTAAATAACAAAACAAAGTCACATTTACTAGCAATAGCTTGCTAATTAGCTTATGATTCTTCACAGTTTTAAAATCATCTATATGGTAAAACAAATCACTATTTTCATTCCACACCACAATGTGCATTCCAGTAGAAAAATAAAGCTAAATGCAGAATTAGGTATTTCGTATACCGCCTATTGAATTGAGGATTCAGTTTCTTGAGACACACCTATAAGGAAATGTTGATTTCTTGCGTCAGGCATTGACGAAAGTAAGGGTTTACAAAGTAAAATAGAGAAACTGTGCAACTTGTCATCAATGACATAGAGAAAAGAGCAAAATGTTAAAATCCAAAGAATACGACAGTATAGGAGACTATACCTATATAAAACGGGACGCCGCGACCATCGTACACCTGCCGGAACAGGTTGTTCGATTTTCATTTGCGTGCACCCTAATATTTACTATTTGAATGAATATAATTTTTAGGGGAAATATTGTGGAATTTTCCTTCCTAGGCTGAAGCTGATTGAAAACATTCTACTCTAAGCGAAATAAAAACTGGGAAATCCCAAAATTCTTGTGGTTGTAATAAATAAATATCTGTAACCGTCTACAGCAGGGATTACATTGTACATAAGGCTCATTATTGATAGCGTTATCAGTTAAACAGAGCAAAATTTCACATAATTTATTCTTTAAAAACACAAAAATTTCAATAGAAATTAAATACACACATAATCAACAACCCCAATTTTCTAAATAACGTTTTAAGACAAAAATCCTCATTTTCAGAAGTTACCAATCACTAGGCAGTTCTCAGTTCTAATGAGGTTTATGTTGGGAGCGTTTTGTGGAAACGATCACAAGAGCTGAGCTAGATATCCGAAATAATAAACACAAAGTCACATTTACTTGCAATTGATTGTTCCTGCTTGCTTATGACCCCATGATTTCTCCATGGATTAAAAAAAAACCAAGTACAAGATAAAACAAATCACTACCTTCATGACACAAGGCTGTACCTACCGCCAACTACATTTGCTTAGTGTAATATATAACAATCCCAGTATAGAAGAATATAACTAAAAGCAGGATTACTTCCTATCCCGCCTATTGAAATGAGGATTCACTTTTTTGAGACACACCTATAATGAAATCTCGGTTTATTCCGTCAGGCATTGACAAAAATCAATTTTTTCAAGAGTTGCCTACTAGAGTACGAACTAGGAAAGACTAACATGCATCGTTTTACGATTCACATGCACAAAAAACATGAAAAATAATAAAATTAAAGGAAACTGACAGTTCTATTAGGGGGGACGCCATGACAGTCGGTGCACCTGCTGGAACTGGTTTTCTTGCTTTTCATTTGTTTGCAATGAAACATGAGCAATAGATATGCGGTTTACGTAAAACTACAGCCACCCTTTACCGAATAAACAGCAGGAAACTTACCAAATTCCAGCCTCAATCTCCTTTTTTCTGGCTTTCGTTCGACTATCCTACGGAGCTCACAGAATCACGAATACATTGGGGGATATGCATACAGTTTTTCGTTATCCCGCACACTACTCATTAATTATTTTACACTAGATGGCTCATAGACCAAACCGGCACAACTCAGGGACAATTTCGAAGGGGTTTTCTTAGCGTTTTTCGCGGATTATCCCTCTCGAATTCGAGTCTTGGGTGCGGCGGTCCCGGTCCCTACTTTTCGTAACGATTATGGAGCCAAGAATGACGTCATGGACGCCATTTTTAATAAACGCCACCTTCTGGGGTCATGGACACGACTGACGTCATACCGCAAGAAAACTGGTAAACGCGTCTCTAGTTCGGCATCGGCCATTTAGATGGCTCTGTTGATTAAATGCGTCACTAAATACGAGGGCGGTTTCTTAACTTATCCTCCTTCAAGATAAACCAATAGTTATTTAGATGAACACTAATAGAGGGAATCATTAAAATCAAGGGCTTTTCTGCCTCTTTTGTAACACGATAATAAAAGGGTACTCACATTGAAGCACTTTTAATTTTAATTTTTCTTAATGCCGTTTATCGAGAATTGCAATGTTTTGTTTCGGAAATTATGCTTGACAAAACAATGAAAATACGCGAGACAAACATAATTGATGGAATTATTGACTGATTTTATAGCAATTTGTGTTTTTTATTACTTTTGTTTCATTTGTATTAGCTTGTGTTAGAGTGAAGTTGGCTTGGTAGAGTTAAAACGTCAGTGCATTTTTATTAGAGTTGCAAATGTAACCTGTAATCTGCGTAAATTTATTTGCATTACCCCCAAAACCAATTGTAAACACTTGGTACGTCAATAAAATCATACTGAATCATACGGAAAAAATATACATTTAAAAGAACAAGAAAACAATTCAGGTACATATTAGAAAAATACAGTTACTGGTGATAACTCATAAAGTAAAGCGATAAATTAAATAATAAATTTAATATAAGTGCGTAGAGCTTTTAAAAATTAAACTTTACCCCTAGTTTTCGATTTATTTGCAGAAAACGTTTTTGGCAATGTTTGGTATTTTTCCAATAGTGCCGAAACCGAACAACATTAAGCCACAGTCTTAAGATCTTAACTTGCCATCTAATCCCAGGTAGCATTTTTGGTCTCAATGACGAAATTTTTTTGGTCTTATATTGCTCCATGGACTAGGCCTGGGTAACTCAGTGAATTTTTAGGAGTTCGAGCAGTGCTACGCAAATGGCTTGGTGCGCCGGTGCGTTACCGGCGCCGTAACTCAGTTCCATTGCTGGGAAATGTTGATGACTTTTTTTTACTTGTTTTTACATTTATTTTAAGGGTCATTTAAATAACAATTTTTTTAAAATTTCTTGAAAATTTCAGAATTTTCCAGTTTTAGTCAAATTAATCTTTTTCTAAATGCTCAATTTTCAAAAGTTTCACTTAAAAATGTTGACACTCTTAAGGTATTTTACGCGAAAAGTTATGAAATAAATTTCAATTCCTTCATCGCTTTGTAAAAAGTTTTCAAATCCCTTTCCAGCTTAGATTTTTTAAAAAATTTATTTCTTTATTTCAAATTACATTCTGATACATGCACATGTATAAAGAATACAAAATGAAATGGCGTTAAAAAACAATTGACAAAGGACATATTATACTAAAAGGTACTGTTGTTACATATTTAAGTATGTAACTAATACTATAAGGCTCTAACTCAATTAATATCTGTTTTAATTTATTCGTAAACAATTTTTCAATTCTTACTTTTTTAATGTTCTTTTCTAGTTTATTAAAGAATTTTATACCCATATGGTACGGACTCTTTTCAGACAGTGTTAGTCTGTGTGTTGGATACAAAATATTTCCGAATAAAAATTTAGAACAAAAATAAAATAATTTTCTATCAGAAAACAGAATAAGCGAAAGTTTATAACAGATTACTTGGAAATCTCGTTACCTCCATACCTCTGAAGACAGTAGAGTTTGTTAAAAAAAATGTAGTTTTTTAGTTTTGACTGAAAAACGCTCTATTTTGTAGAGTTTCACTTAAAAATACTGACGATCTGGAAGCCTTTTTTACACCAAAAATTACAAGGTAACTTTAGAGCTTTGTAAAAATTTCAAATTCTTTTTTCAAAAAAAAATCCCCTAACTAAAAAAGCGAAAGTTTATAATCATTTGTTTGGAAAACTCTTGGAAACTGAGGCTTCTTCACTTTTAGGTCAATATTTCTAAACAACGCTGTCTCTAAACGAAAAAACCGCGTTTTTCCTAACGTTTTACTGTAAACTGAATCTTTTATGCAAGAAAATTAAGAAATCGATTTTATAATAAAACTCGTCGACTTTCTTTGGACTCAGTTCTGTTGTTGGGAAAATCTATATTAATTTTTTTAGTTGCTTGAACAAAGCAGTAAAATGTTACTAGGAACAGATGTTAATGACCATTTTTTAGATTTGAAAATTACAGTCTCGGGTCTCGTACAGCTTTAATAAATGACTTATAACTCATGAACCGATGAGTTATAACTCGTTAAATCAGAGAGCGGCAACAACTCAATTGAGCAACTGAACACAGCGTAACCAGGCCTAATGACGTCTAATGACCAATCATAAAAACGCCCAAAATGACGAATGCAAAATCGTAATTAGGCGTTAAGGTGAATTTTAATAAAAACAGATGCTCTGATACATACAGATTTTCTCTGTTTCAAAAACGGTGAATTGTAGAAATGCTGATTTGGGGGCTTACTATATAAAATGAACATAAACGGAATAAAAATGTTGTTTACTACCATATAATTGTGTCAAGTTAACCTAAGAACTAGATATAATAAACGATTTAAAAAATAGATATACTTATATTACTTCGTCCCCATTCACTAGAACATTCCTAAAGTAAACTTTTAACGGGTGACCAACATACTTTTCTCTTTAGTCAGTCATTTTGATTTAACCGTGGCAAGCCATTCCTGCCGGAGTTGTCCAATTGAATCACACTAAAAATTTCTTCATAATAAACAAGAATAAAAAATTAGCTGTACCTAATAACAAGTATTTAATTCATTTATCGAAAAAATTACCAAAAATGGAGAGTTGCTAGTCCAAATCAAATTTACACGGGATCTGTGGTTGCCCGTTCCACGCATGCCATTGGAAGCGACTCGACGCCATAACTGTCGATAAGAACGTCCGAAATATGACGTGTTTATGTCGTCAGATATTCGTCCAATGACGTCCAAGTCCAAAAGTGCCCAATAAATGACGTCATATTTGTTATTGGCTGCTACCTAGTATTTGATAATTTTTGTCTAACTTAATCGATTTTGTAACCCTTACGGTTTAGAAGATCGCAATAGTGACCCTTACCAATTGGACCATTTTGAATAAGCACTTAGCTTTAAGTACTATCATTAAGTAAATCAGACTACAAATAAAGTAGTATTTTTATTTCAAATACATAGTTTCTGGATATAGGATCAGAAGTGTATTTCTTCGAAAACTCCAGCAGAAACCGGTGAATTAAAACCACCCAAAAGATAATGATAGCGAACTAGTTGAAAGATACAGTAAAGACGAATGTCTTTAGACAAATCAAGAAAGGAAGAATAAAAACAACAAAATAAAAAAACATACGTATATCATTAAATCATCAAAACCATACGTATTTACACTTACTTCAAATTTCCTCCTTAGATACCTTACAGTTAAGACCTTCACTTAAATGCTATGTAAAAATCTAGATGCACAGTTGAAAAATTAGAACTAAAAATGTTAATTTACTACACAGTCTGGGGGATTTTTCCATTATTATTCGCCGAATCTTTCAGCATTTTTTCCTGTGCTTCTGATTCAGTTCCCATTTTCTTATGACTATGTCCAATGTATACAAATTGCGTTTTGAAATAGTCTGTTATATCTGCTAGTTTCATGCCAAACGTTTCCGGTAGGAATATGTAGGAGTAAACGGCTCCTCCTAGGCAAACGATGGCGAAGAACCATTGTAGATTACTTGCGCCTCCAAAAAAGTCACTCATTCCATAGTAGCTTTGCAGAGCAATGAACATGAGTATACAGCACAAACTATAACTAATCGAGTATCCGATTCCTCTAATTTCCAGGGGAAATAACTCGGCTATGAGCATATTAGGTATTGGAAGAAGACCGACAGTTGAAGCCACCACATAAAAGAGTAGTGCAGCCACAGGAATCCACTTTAAATTCGTTGTTCCTATAAAACGCAATAATTAATAAAACTATTTTTGATAGTATCTAGTTTATTTTTTAACAGGAGGCGCTCATAATAACCATTAATCCAAAATATATTCCATAAGAATCGAGTGTTATAGGGGATAGTGTCCAAACTTGATACGCGTTTTATAAATTAAAAATTCTTAATTTTTTACAAACTGTTCAATATTTTCTTGATTTTCACCATGTGAATGTATGAATTTAGATTTATTTCAATTTGCTTGTGCCAATGCACTCTCCATAGCTCTTGTCAGCTCTAATCCCATACCTTCTTCCCGATTACATTTTTCCAAATACTTATCTTCATTGCTAGAATAATCTTGAACGGATACTTTGTGACCGATTGCGTTCAAACTTTTCTCGAAAACGTTTTCCGTCTTTAGATCTCTGGCCGGATTTTTCAAAAAATGTTGTTCCAACATGTTTATTTCGTAAATTATCTATGAGATTCTTGATTTTCCGTTTCTTATTTCCTCTTTTAGGCCTTCTCAATGGAACTTTTGCGTGCCGCTTGACCATTTCTGGATTGAGAGGATTTTGCTGCTTTGACGACTTAAGTGGATCATGCGGTAGAGGTTGCTCAAAGCTTTCAATCAATTCAATGTTAGCTCCCGACCGATCGGTTTGTAAACGGATATTCGAAATTTTCGTATTTAAAGAACAAATACCGGTTTGCAAAACAGGAACTGAATTTGTAGAACAAGTTGTCTCTGTAATCATTTGCTGATAAACGTTTTTGCAACGTTCAGCAACTTGAAGAGCTTAATGGTTTGATTGGTTTTTAAATCAAGGACCAGGAAAAGATACAACACTTTCCCCTATAATGATGCGAATGTCTTCCACTATTATTAATAATGGACATAAAACCGACTGTTTGATCTACGTTATCCAGGACTTTTTACTAATGCGTTAAGATTGATCCAAATTTATCCCTATCCCGAGTGGGTTAAATTGGACCCTATTAAATGGAAACTCCTATTTTTCTAACAGATGAACAAAAACTGATGTCGGTGTCTGAGCATCGATTTTTACGACAAAAAATGACAAAAACCGTGTCAGTATCTCTAAATTAGGGTCTGTTGCTGAAATATGCACTTTTTGAAAGGCTCCCTAACTTTTTTCCTGTGTTTTTTTTAGTTTCTGCGGGAACATTTCAAACCACTGTTTTACGTAGAACCCAATAATGTTAGCTTCATTTGTGGCAAACCAATACTTTCATAGTGATTTAAAAAATACGCATTTATTAAAATGGGAAACTCTGCATATTTAATCATATTTGATTTGAACTTTAAATTACGTCTCCAAAATGTTGCACATTCTATGTTTTGTTCAAATATTTCAGGAAATATAAAGGCTTAACATTTTCAGGTTTAAAGCCGTTGGAAGACATCGCAATAAAATGGAATTTAAGAAGAACTATATATTCAAAAATAATTACATATTAGAAAACAAAACAAGCAAACATCCAGCCAACAAGAACGAACCATTTCCCCACAATAGGTGTTCGAATTGCCTATAAAATTGTCTACAGCAAAAGCTGTAGTAATTGGTAAAAACCAATGCAGAGAAGCAAATGTAAGTCACATTATTGGATACTTCGTCATAAAGTGCTTTGGAACTGTTTCGGTAAAAAGTGAAAAAAGACCCATTCCAGAACGGCAGATTTCTGCAAAAGATCTTGTATTCCTGAAACTGTTGGAAATATTGACAGTTTTTCATATAAAAATCGAGGTCCAGACACTGACATCAGTTTTCGCCTATCTATCTGCAGAAATAGGAATGTCCATTAAAATGAGTCCAATTTGGTCCACTCTGTAAACCAAGGAGTAGTCATAATTCCCTTGGAAATAATAACCATCATTACATCTTGCTAAACACATTCATAATGAGTCTCATATCGAATCGATGTAGATACATTTATCGTTTATTTGTATCGATTTACCTTCCTGAATCCACATGGTCCACAAGCCAGCAATAAACATGCTTAATGCCATCAGGCCGCTACTGATGAATATTAAAGATCTTCTATGGAACCTTTTTAAAATATAAATGCTCATCATGGACATTATTAATCTTACTACGCCAATCAGTATGGAGGCCAAGTATCCATTAATGCTGCTTCCGGCTTCCTGAAATATCCAACAAATTATTGGATACACTCATTGGAAGCAAGTCTTGCTTGATTAAGCGGATAAATTAGTTATCAGTTTTTTCCAGTAGTTAGCCTATGAATTATATAGTGTGATCCGTAATGAATGGGTTAAAAAGCAATTGCAGATTCTCAAATTCATCAGTAATGGTCTATTTCCATAGTACAGGGTGTTAAGCTCAACATTTAATTTCAAATTTAGTTCACATAAAATAGCACAATGTCAGCTTTCTGCTTAAATAGTACCAAATAATATTTGGTTAGCAAGCTCCATAATTCCTTACCTGAATAAAACTGATGCTGTAAAACATGGTAATGTAGATCCCAGAAAAATGTTGGAAGAAAAACAAGCCCGTCAGAATAACCAGTGGTTTCCACCCGGTAGGTTTCAAGAACTCTTGAATGATAAACTTGACGCCTTTTTGGTTTTTCTGCTTTTCCTGTTCTTCTTTCTTTTTCTGCTGTTCTTCATGTAATATCTTGTACTGCAGGTCCGCAAACGTTTCCTGCTGGAAGCACACAAACGATGACCTTTACATTTTTGCGCTATTCTGGTATTTATTGGGAAATATTTACCTCTCCAGGCGGTTTTTGATACTTGTGGATCCACTCCAAACTCTTCTTTGCCTGCTCGTATTTACCTTTCAAAATTAGCCACGAAGGACTTTCATGGATAATAATGCAGACCAAACAAGGAACAATAATGAATACATTGCAAACCCAAGCTAAGGTTCTCCAATGGAGATACCAACCTCCTAAGTATGTTAAGACCATTCCTTGAAACAATAGATTAATTAAAGGAATTTTCTTGAATTTTAATTGAACCTTGCTTTTGAATATGCTGTCTATATCAGTACAATGTTTTTATTCAGTTGTAAAACAATGTCGGACTTTATTATGAATTCACATCAAAATTAACTCCAAACAGTTCCATTTTATTCCCTTTTTTAATCAAAAACTTGAAAATTAAGTTATGAAACAGTGTGTCAAAAATCTTTCCAACATTTCATAGCATCCTAGGAAAAACTGGTGTACAGTGTAAATGAGAAATATGAGCTGCAATCAGTATCTACAAATATACAGGCTGTTTGTAAAATGTCTGTACAAAATCCTACCACATATTGCTAGATAACCGATTGGTTTTCAAAATACAAAGTGATAAATTTAAGATTTAAAACTAGAAAAATGTGTAATTTTGATTGTAATTCCTCCACTTCAACGGATGAGAGTTTTATTGTAATCAGAAGTTATAATTATTTTACATTTTTCGTGCGCATTGAAGAGAAAAGTGCCCAACATACGCAAATCTGTTTAAATGGCTTCCTTCTGCTCACTTTTGTCTTATCAATATTTTGTGGATGCAGAAAGCGACGGTCTAAAATTATTAATGACAAAAACGAAAGTATTTTTTTAGTGTAAAAGTCCACTTCATATAAAATATTCTATATGATATGTACATCCGGTATAAACACACGTAATACATTCTCTATCTAAGTATCATTCGGGACGCAATCTTCTATACTTTTTCTATTTTTATTGACGAATTGCAGTCCACGTATAAGTTTTGATTAAATGTTAAATAAACCGTTTGGTAGAGAAACAGAAATCCAACAGTTAAATTAAATAATTACCAAGTGAAACATATGCTGGTGCAATAGCCATCAAAGACATTCTTAAATTCGAACTTGCAATTTCTGTGATATAAACTATGCCCGGACTGGTTCCCCAAGCTGTAACAAATAATACATAAATATACCATATAGTACAGGGTGTTAAAATATATCGCGTACAACTTTTAATACGTAAAAAAAGATCGAGTAAGGCTGAAAATTAAAGACATTATTTTCAGCTCTGACGTCAATTAAGATCTTTCTAGTTTCTTGCAAATATTTTGCAAACAAAGCCTTTTATCTAAGAAAAAAATTAAAAGTAAACAGTGTCAGACCACTATGTATATGACAATAATTTGACATTGTTTATTGATATTTGTAAGAAAAAGCGTGAAAGTGGTCATCATTACCTGAAGAAATTCCTACCAAAAGCCTGCCAATAATAATGGTAGTAACATTGTTGGCTAAAGCAATCATGGACCAGCCGACAACTCCTGGAATTCCCGCTATTTTTATGCAGTTTAGTCTTCCTAGATTATCCATGATAATACCGCTGAAGATGGAAGCTGGAGGAATGACCACTATGAGAACGCTCGCTGAAAGAATAACAACCAAAAATATGCTAATGTAACAAGCCAATGTTTTTTCTTAAATATTGACTATTAAAAATATTCTTTAATTATCATCGTGAGATAAGCATCAATCCTAATAATCGCTTTCGATTTCATATTTTGAATATTTAAGTTGAAACTTCTGTTGCCCATTAGATGAACAAAATAAATATAAAATATGAATAACAGCATTTACTTCACTTGCCTATCTTAAAGTTCAATATATGTTTGTTTAAAATTGCATAATATAAATATTATTAATAATCAAGTAACTAAACTTAAAGGGTTTAAAAGTTATTAAAAGCTTTCCAAATTCAAAACATTTTTACACTTTCTTGCGTTACATATGAACTTTAATGTGGCCGATTAGTCGTCAGACCGATTAAAAGCAAGAAATGTTCAATACAATTGACCTCTATCTTATTAGTTCTGTTGTTTACTAATTTATAGCGCAGCAGATGTTTCTTAATTAATCACTTTATTATTAATTTAGTTTTCGTTAATTTTGCTTGTTTGTTTTATCCATAACTCTCTATCTTTCCCATAGTATTAAAGCACTATTTCATTGCGGTATTAATTTTAAGAAAATAATGGCATTACCAGTGTTTTCCAACAATTTGTTTCCAATAGTGTTTAGATAGTGTGTGATATAATTTAAGAAATACCACAAACTTATTAATATTTCTATTTCATCAAGTTGCTCAACATTTAAACAGCTGGAAGCTTAGTTTTTTTTTKAACCCAAATAACTTATAAAATATGTATACATTTAAGAARMGCATTACTGATGTTGTTTTAAGCAAAAAATGTATTTTAAACGTACATAMAATTCCTTAATAATAAAGTCRTTTSGTGCGGAATGTTTATAGATTTTTCAAAATTCCTGGGTTTTGAATTAATTAATCTGCGGATTGCAGCGTTTAAAATTGCACATGTAAAAATCCAGTTCTCGCATTAGTTTATACACCTATATCGCTTCTGATGATGGTGTCAAAACGAAAACGTACTCTAATAATAAAACGAGGTATAATTTTCTTGTCAATTGGCAGTGTAATTGCCATTAATAAATCAAAATTAATTATTTAAATTCAATTTTTGGTATATAATTGTGTACGACAACCCTGTAAGCGGCCCATTTTATTCGAGGATTTATCTTCAAATTACATTTTCTATACAAAAGCCTCAAAAAAGTTTCATATCAAGCGCTTTTTTAACGGAAGACYCTMTAATATGGTTACATTAAATTCAAAAACTAAAGKCTAATWTGRAAATGTGAATCATTTTTATGAGAAACCGCAGGACAAAATTGAAAAATTGTAAAARAGCTTCAGTAGTTACTCACGTTGTAATTTTTGACACAATAAAATAATRTTTTTACTACTTCATACCAATTTTAATGTTAATTAATACAGCATGTCCGATAACTTACAAATTAAATAATTAATTCCAATATTTATTAGTTTCCAAATTAACTAATTTTACACTCAAATTTCTCAGTAATTTTAACAGCAAAATATTTGATATAAAAATCTTATAGCATTGAACCATTAGATTAACACCTTTGTTGAAGAACTTAATGTTTCAACGTAAAATATCTCGAAAACACTAAGATATAGGGACTTTCTGTTGATAAAACATCAGAAAATTTGAACTGACAAATATAAATTTGGCATACTAAATACATAAATGTTGTTTTATTTTAAGCAGCATCAGAGTACTCGAGTTAGCTCCTTCTACAAGTTACAACCAAACGAATAAAAAACTTGAATTTTTGAACTGGAGAAATGGTCAACCAGAAATTTCTGATGTAACTAGTGGAACTAGTTATTCGAAATAAGCGGAAATTTTTACACCCTAAACTTGACCACCGTGTATGTCGACCACGGTGGCCCACATTGAAAAATAAAATTATCATTACTAATTATTTATTATGAAATAAACTCGCATTCATTTTGGAAAGCAAACCTGTCATTGCATTGCATTGGCTAACCTTTTTGTAACACCCCGTATACAATAAACAATTATTTTGAAAAAATTAGAAAAACACTAAAAATCAACAACTAACTCCACAAAGGGTATTTCGTTGAATTAGTCTAATGGTTATTGTCAATTTTCTTCTAGTATTTCTAAAATTTTTCAGTACTCACTTTGTATATTTGTGTTATGAAGGTTTATTCAAGTACCTTTATATCGAATCAGCCGTCCATCTACATATTTATGTTAATAATTGACTTACCCATCCATGAGTTCTGTGTTTTTGTGGATTTAATTGGACTGTCTGGTTCGGCTAATTGTGAGATTAATACTGCTGAATAAGCTAATGAGATTCCATTCCCTATGTGAAAACTAGCTGCTAATAGTGATGCTAAAATCTAGAAATAAAAAAATTTACAATTTATTAAACTTCGATAGCAATATTGTTTAGACTTACTTGTGGAAGCACATTTTTTAAACTTTTGCCTTCATATTTGCTTAGTGAGTGGCAACTGGCTATCATTACCCGAAGTCCTTCATCTTTGGTATCTTTGAACTTTTCCTCTGCTGCATCAATGGAGTTATCTGTAGCGGGTTTACTTTAACAAAAAAAAGAGTAAGTATGGTATAAATATTTGAAAAAGTGAGAACCTCCAGGCAACGTACTTACAATAAGCTCAGACAGCTGGCTCTGAAACCAAATAAGACTTTTAAAAATTATCAAACAGAACTTCTAAAATTAAGTAATAAGAATACTTAGAAACGTCGGCAAGACCTTTATAAATCTTGACGCTTTCAATTAGCTTATGTTTAATTTAGATTTTACAGGAAGCGGCTTATTTTTTCAATGGATCATCGATCACCAATTGTTCAGTTAAAGCGAACATCATTCTTTTGTTCAACTTTTTATATGCGAAGTTACCTTATTGTTTAAGAAATATAAGAAATATTTTGAGTGCAAAAGTACCTCCTTTAAATTGCTATTGCTTTTAAAATAATCCTCTTTAAGTTAATGTAGGTTGTTGGGTATTCTTTGGTTTTCTAAGAAGTTTATTTACTTGATTAGATTTAATTGGGGCTCTGCTCAAACCATTATTCCGTTTAAAAACTACGGTTATAATAGTTGCTAGCGATGTTTCTTTATGTTATTATTCTTTCATTTGCCTTCTTACGTTGATTGTTATCACTACTACATTTTTATCAATGCTTGAAAACCTAGTTACTTCACCCAAATTACTGGTTTTCGTAGTAACATACCTCTATACCACTCGTGTGTCTATTAAGTGCAAATGTGAGAACTTAGAAATGTTTAAAAGCTGCATTATAATTAGTATTTCATATGGGTTATTCGACTGGATCCGATAAATCACTTCTCCGAAGCTTGCAGCTTAATGGCTTCAATTAATTGTTCAAAAATATGTTTTCATTACATTGATTTTGATTAAAAACATAATTTATTCGAGGCAGCTTTGGCGAAACTTGCTATTAATCAAGTAGTGGAGAAATATAGTAGTCACGGCTTTAGGTCGTATAGATTTGTTTTTCTTCACGTAAAAATTGGAAGTTCGAACATTTCTATGTACAATTTGCACCTTTTTTGAGCAAATGAAAAGGTATGTATTCTATGAGAACTGGAAATTGTTGCATTCGCTTTTTCGACTTACCACGTAGGTACTGTAAGATTAATAGAATTTAGCATTAGCATCAGCTAAGAACATGCTGATAAACTCCACAATGTTTCCTCATAAGGACATCCATAAACAAACCTGGGTATCCAACGACCAGGAGATCCGTAACAAGATTGACCATGTTGTGGTGGACGCCAGACATGGGAGCAGTGTCCTAGATCTAAGAAGCCTTAGAGGAGTAGAAGGACCTACAGATCATTTTCTGGTGAAAGCCAAACTCCAAATCAGAATATCGAGCCAGAAAAACCAAAAACTAACCAAACCACACCATGGAACATAAATAAACTTCAGAACCCAGCAGAGCACCAAAAATACGAACAGAAACTGGATCAGAATCTCATTGATAATGAAAATTGCACATTGAATGTTTAACGTTTGTGGAACTATTGAACAACCTATAAAAAACAGCAGAAAAACAGTAGGGACGACCAAAAAGAAATCGACTAAATAATGGTTTAATGAAGAGTGTCAACAAAAACTGCAAGAAAGAGAAACTTTTAGAAAAGCCATGATTCAGCACGATACACCTGAAAACCGAGACAAATATGCAAACTCTCGCAAACAAACTAGGAAGTTCATAAAAAGACGAAAACAAGAATATGAACGTCGAAAATACTATATGGTCCAAAGAAATAGGTCTAAACCAGCTTCTAGGAAATTATATAGGGCACTAAAAAACGAAAATGAGGATATCATCAGTATCAACGAACACGCACAGTTGGAAGCATAGGAAAACTACTTTAAAATGCTGCCAACTACAGAACCCGATCCGAAACACACAGAAAATGCATACCAGACAGATCTCCCTGTAGAAGAACCATCCATAGAAAAAACTGAAAGGCTCCTGGATCGGATAACATACCATCAACTATGAAAATACGGAGGTGAATCGTTATACAAACAATTAAAGCAACTAATTGCTTTCATTGAATGTAATTGTAAAGAGGGGACAATACCAACAAAATGATAATTAAGCATCATAATACCAATCCACAAAAAAGTCCACTTATCAATACGGCCTACAAAGTCCATACTCCGAGGGCCTCCTGGATGAATATCAGGCGGGTTTCAGGAAATTTAATTCCACTCAGACTATGAAGGCTTTCACGGTCGGTCAAATCCCATATAGAAATGTTTTTCGGGCTTTGAAGCCGTGGTCCATGGGAATTTCTTCCTGACGTTTCGTCCACAACTGCGGTAGACATTATCAAAGGCGATGATGCAGTGGGCGAAGTGATCTCCCGTGCTTTCCGACTAAGACTGGTTCAACTACTGGATCCCCTATCGTATTTATGCGGCCCGGCCGTGTGAGCTCATTAACTTTGAAAATTGGAATTTAATTCCACTATTGACCAACTTTTTACACTCAGGCAACTACTAGAGGACGGATGGAAGTTCAAGCTTCAGTTCAGTTAAGGTGTTGCTTATTTAGCATAATTATTCATTTTTTACATACTTATTTATAATACTTTTTAGACTGTTTATTATTTTCATAAAAAAACAAATTTAAAGTGTTGTTMGTAAAGACGTATTTTTCCAAATAATTCTTCCTTCTCACAAAATAATTACTATTCATAATTTTTTATTATCTACTATTCATGAAGAAAAACTGCCTTGAACATCTAGCCTTTATTGTATGTATTCTTGATTTCATTTGTGTAAATCACAGATGAATTTCTTCCCCTTGATTTTTTCCGGTGCGGTGTCTTTTTATAAAATTGAGGTATTTTTCATCTTATTTTTCAGTTCAATTTCCATACTGTCATAAACCAGTTTTTCAATTACTCGTATTCATAGTCATTGGAATCTTGAACAGGGACTCCGATGTTGCCAAAACTTTCTTCAAACACTTTTGTATTTACTTTTTCAACTGTGATCTTCAACTTTCTAATCAGTCTCTTAACAAATAGTTCAACTGATTGTCGAAATTTTTTGTTAATTTCTTGATTTATATGGATTTATCATTTCTGGTCTCACAAAGTTTTGCCGAATTAACAAGTTACGTGGATGATGGTCCAGAATAGTCGAAACTTTAAATCGGTTGTTCAGTTCCAATGCTACATAAAAAAAATATTTTTCAACCGAAATGTCCGTATTTAAGCGACAAATGTCGCTAGCATAAAATGCATTTGAAATATTTTTTGGAATGAACGGTTTTGGATAAGTTTTTTCAACAACAACTGTAGCAGACTGATACAAGCCAAATAGTTTGTTAAAGATTTAAATCATCCCTTCACTAATAGTCCTGTTAATTTTAGTAACATATCTTCTAAGGAACAAATATGATCTGAAACACTTACTTAAAAATACTGTACATTATAAGCTCTTATTTACGAAGACTTCCTTAGATTCATCATTTTAAGACTGTCCAAATGATCGTTTGATATATTGCCCTAAAATACGTGTCTGCCATTTTGGGTTTTTTGGATTATGTTTTTTGTCAACGCGACAATAAACAAAACGAAAAAAATTCTAAAGTAGCCCCAGTTACCCATGCAATTATATATTCTTCTGATGCACCAAAAAAAAAGTAATATCGTTGGTTAAAAAGAACAATAAACAAAAATATTTCTAAGAGAGAGAGGCGTTTAGGCGCTTTCAGGCTCATCCGTCGCAAAGTACAAATGAATTCTGCCTTAAACACGAGTTGATCTAAACACACACACTTAAAAAAATGACTCTTATAATATTATTAGACAATAATAAATTTATTCCATGTTCATTGTTCCCTCTGTACGTAATTAGGTTGTCGTCCGATTAACAACCGCCTTGTTCTGCTCTAAATCTTTGTTCTGCTAATACCAGATTACATTTTCTCGCCATCTGAGCAAACAACTACCTTGAATCAATGAACGATAAAACCCAATGGATGCAATCAGTTGCGAATTAATAAACACTTAGTAGATCAGATACATATATGTTACTAATACATAATTGCTTTGTACTTATTGCAAATCTTTCCTAATGCAGTTTTATTGGAGTTTTAACTAAAACCTTTAAAGTTATCAGATATTGTGGTGCCATTTAGATTATTTCTAATTTGAAAATGTTAGTTGCATGTAGGTACTATACAAGCTATGAGACAGATGTGATTTATCGCTTATCTATATATGTATTGGTCATAGTCGCAACATATATCATTGAATTGAACATATTTAATTTAAACAATTTATTGCAGTATTGCTTACATTCAAAACTAGTGGATTTTTATTAAATTACCTATATTTAAAGCTCAACGCAGGCCGATAGTTTAAAAAAAACTAGTGCACGTATATGAAAAATACTGTTAACTTTTTATAAAAAAATAATGTGATAACGGGAAATTGAGCTTCAAGTCGAACCTATGTTTGAGAAGTAGGTAATGGTTCATTTGAAAATCTTCGGATTCTCTTCTTGTCTACTATTTTGAAAATTTTCACCTCAACTAGTTTTATACCGAAAGTAAAGAAATGTTTTTGGTAACTGATCCACTCCAAACGAAGACAATTTTGTCATTTCATTATCTTGTTGGATTTATTGAACCAGTTAAAAAAGACAATTGAATGACAATGTTTTAAATAATATTACGAAAGTCGAAAACGACGAGAGTTGTGACAATGAGCAGCACTTTAATGTTAAATCTGTTAACAATAACAAATACATTTCATACATAAAACGAAAAACAAATATACATTAAATTATATCAAAACTTGCCAATGATTGAGTGATAATAATGAAGAAATATTATTCATTGTTTGAATTTTACTAAACTATGTTTTCAACTGCACTCATTGCTATGGTTAACCACTAATTGCTATTCAAATAAAAACATTGGAATTAGAATTTTCAGATAACTTCACTAAAAAAGTAAGTGAACAGTTTTGATAAAGGAAAAAATGCCGATATTTATCATAAAATGTGACAAAAGTTTTCATTTAAATGTAACAATTTCGGCTAATGATTGAGGAAAAATGCTGTTTTTAGAGTCAAGTCAGACTGTAAAGTTCAATTATGGAAGTAATACTTTAAACTGAAAGACATCACTTTTGTTCGTCCAAAATGAAATCGAACCTCAATGACTTCTTCAAGGTTTTTTTAAAACTCAATTTAAGAAACAAATGCGAATTTGTTTGTTGTAGAACGAATAAATTACAGTTAAAGCACAGAAAGAATGAGATTGCATCAGATTAAATTAATTAAATTACATATAGCTGAGCTGTATTTTAAGATGCATGATGCTACTTTTCAAATTTATTTTTAAGTTTTCTTTGCATTTTATTTGCGTTTTAATGAAAATGATGTGAATTTTACATGTGCAATTTTTTTGGCTAAGTTTGTCAAATAACATTTTCGCAGCAGGAATTTTTTAGCTAATTTTTTAAGTGAGGATATATTATGCTAAAAGGAAATTTCCAACTTTACTCTTTAGATATTTACTTAATTACTTTCATTGCTTTGTAATTTTGCGCCCTTTGTTTTTATAATGCGGTATCGATTTGGTTCACAATCATCATTGTATGACAGAAATTAATTGTGTCCGAACAAATAAAAACTTTTAATAATAAAGTACGAAACCTGTTTTAAATGCACAGTCAGTTTAAATGCAGTGTCACCGGAATGGAAAAGTCCCTGACCTCAAAAGAAGTATCACTTTGCAAATAAATATCAGCTGCTACTATTTTAGCCAATCGAAATTCCACAAGAAACTGTATGTTTAAAATCTGAGCTAATTTACTTGAATGAAAACAACAATCTGAAAGAACAAAAGGAAAACTGCACATCTATTCTTTATCAACTTTTGAGAGTTTTTGTCTCATTATTCACATGGCCTTATATAGATAGCCACTAATTCTCAAAACTTTTTTTGGAGAAGATTTGGAAGATAACTCCTCGAGGAAAACAACCTATGTTTTTCGATGAGTATCAAATCGGACATCTCGAATTATAAATTCATAACACGTTAGATGAAATCCTTAGATCAACGACGATTGTAATTTTAATTTGTTTGTTGTTGTTGTTTGTAGTAATTTACTTTAATTACTTTTCTTTTATAGCAGGTTTTATGGATATTATTCGCTGTTTTCCGATGAGCGATTTACACCAACAATTTTAAAATTTAAATCTGAGTAAGTCTAATCTATTTATCAGCAGCGCAATCTGAATTTTAGCGTAAACCACATAATTTAATTCAGGACCACCACACACATTGTTAGCATGCAAGGTTTATTTATTGTGTTGTTAAGAATTTCGTGGTTTGTATATATTTTGCTAAGTATAGCAGACTCGTGTGGTTAATGGCACACTAAATCTTTAAATCTATTTTACTTACAATTTCCGCAAATTCTTAGGTGTCTTATGTACGTTTAATATGGACGTTGTTATAATATAATTTATTAACAACTTGCTTCATGTACATTATTTGCAGTATTGCATATGTTTTATACAGGGTCATAAGTTAAAAAATCTTAATGCGAACTGATAGAACAGTTAGAAAACAATTTTAGAACCCAACTATATATTAAGGAGGCGGAGTTAAATGTATGGACTAGATAAATGCAATTGTAGAGTTGGGGTGGTTGGTGCGGTTAGTATAACATTGTAACTTTCAAAATTGTCACTCTGTATATCATGTATGCGGATGGTTAACTTCGTTTAARRTGTTTTCCAATCTTTATCGCCCAAAAAAATKATAATTTTAAGCACGGTAAGAACCTGTTACMTSAACCTTGGTCACATGCATACAATATAAAGTATTTAAKACATTTAATTATTCCCCATTAGATTAATCTTTTGAAGCCGTTTAAAGTAGCGAATYATCGCACAAATGAATGCCATAAATCTATATTTTACTGTAAAARGTTGACTCCAATCTTAGTGATCAAAAGCATTATACAGGGTGTTATAAATTATAAATTCGAGGGTTTAGCATTGGAATCTCGTAAACCATTAGAGATACGAAGTCCGKTAAATKATGGAAAGTTGCGCATTTTGATGTTTAAGAAAATGGTTAAAGTTGAATTATAGATGYTTAATAGAGAATCCAAAGTGATTTTTKTCATTTGACTCAAAAAATTAAATCGAGCGATATATTGCACATAAAGGACATCTTTCTTAATATTTAGAACACTAAAAATAGTCAATAAACTTTAATCTYTTCATTATTATTTTAGTACCTATTTGCTGACTACTTTCTTAAATCGCTACATAGTTAATAGTTAGTTATTMAAWTTGATTAAGTTTATTTCCTTTAAAAATCTTGTCAGTCGTACCAGCAATTAATTTTAAATTAGAGCCATACTTACAGTTTCATTTTATTTGGAGAAGTAGTCGGAATTTTTCAACTTTTAAAACACATAYTTTGTTAATCACCAAAATGCCCAACTTTTCCYTGATTTAACTACCTTTGTTTCTATTACGGTTTACGAGATCTCAATGTTAACACCTCGAATATGTAATMCCCTGTATATRGTATATCATAGACATGTACAAAGATTTTAGAAAATATTTATTYACTKCTTTTTAACATACWGTTATATAAAGTATTAACATCTTAAAATGTTTTCKYTYTCGAATATTCACACTATTGTTTGAAAACTTATAAAACTGGTTTTCGATATGTGTGTAACTGTTTGTTTSAAAAATATGTTAAACGCCTTGTATATATGTACATCTTCAAATATGAGCAAATATCAAAATGTAAKGACTTAATATTATTTAARCAGTTAAKGTTTAAAACATAATAACTGTATAAATAAAAATTGAATAAMATAAATAATAATTTTCTCTGTAAAGTGRGCMTAATTTAAAGTTACTTATTTGGTGCCTATAACTGATTAAAATAAAAAAATTACTTACCCTATCGGGTCCATCCTCCTGAAGTTCCTGTGAACAGCACAAACAATGTTGTTTATTTTGTAATAGTAATAAAAAAATATAAACGGATAATATTAAATTAAAAAGCACGTGTAGTAAAATGGAAAAGCCCAAAGTACAACATGCGCAGGCAGCTTAAAAAATTGATCGAATATTGATTGATTGTAGAACATAATTGCTATGCAATGAACTAATCCTAGAATATCTCGAAAAACTTGTAGCAACACCGTTCATCATCCAAATTATCAGAAAAATTTGTAATCTACAAGATAAACCCTTATCGCTCAAACTAATCATTAGCCTTAAACGAGCTGTGCATTATGTTATATGATTAATTGTTTTATTGGTTTTGTTAGGTGTAGTTTCGCTGGCAACTTGGTTGTATAATATTGTTGTTAGGGTTCTTATAATACTGCTTTATAAAAGAATTATGAGTTCTTGAACTGAATTTATTACATCTACTAAGTCAGTGCAGCAAATAACAAATAAAATAGAACATTACTTAAATAATTTAATCCTACTATAAATGAAATATTAATTGTGTCGTCCTTTTCGCGCAAGACATTTATGCGTTGGATTAAAACAATGCACACGGAACTTCATTTATTTTCAATATATAATAGGCAATATTTAAAAAATCGGCAGTACTTGACACTACCAGGTATACAGGAGCATATATATAATATATATATAAATAATCTTTATTTCCTATAGAAAAAGGCTATCGACCCAATCGGTCTTTCTGCCGGAGGACATATAAAATACATGAGCATTTTATTTAACATTCTGATATATCTTGAATCATATACTATATGTATTTAGGTCATAAACGGGCGTATATTATAAAATCTAGAAATATTTCTAACTAAGAAGAGACGGATTATTCACTAAGCAAATAACTTTTCGAAATGCTATTCAGATCCAGCAAATATTTGAGAAAAAAGTAAACCTTGAGCTAAATTTAAATTTTATTCCTGCATATGCATGGTCAACACCTTAAAGAAGAATTTACTTTACTGCTCGTCGATAGCTAAAGAAAGCTATGTTACTTAGCAGAATTGCATTTACTAATAATAAAAAATTGTGTATTCGAAAAAATTATTAAAATTAACAACGTATGGCTTTTACAAATTAATTTTTTATATTGTGTTTGGTATTGATATATAAATTTGCCTTTATCTAGGTAAATGATTGCAGGTTGTAAATTTCAGTAAGCGAATATAATATTAACATTGAACAAATCTACTACAAAAAACAAATCAAATGTAGTCACAAATAAAAGCTTTAAAAGGTTGTTTTAAATTTCACAAAAGTTTTTCCAAGATTATAGACTTCGTCGGACTATCGACAAAGAACCATTGAAAGTCGGTATTATTGTAAATATATTTAGATACATCATCCAAAGACGTGCACAATTTAAAATTAGTATTAAAAATAAAATTTTGCTTAGAAAACTTGTGAAAAAAGTTATCAAATGCGAAAAAAACAAAAATAAAAACTCACCTTTGTCTTCTAAAAGTAAATGTCCAAATTCGCCAACAATTAGAGCGAAACTAATAACCACATTTTCCAATTAAAACGACTTTTTCATAAACGAAACTATGAGAGAACAGAGCATTTGCACATCGGCGCGTCTTGATTCGACTAAGCGCTAATCCGAAGCTAAAGTAAAACCGATTTTATTTAGCAACAATAAAACGCCAACTCCCTAGTCAGTGTGGAATCAGTCTTAACGCTTATCATTTTTCATAATTTCCATTCTACCATATGATTCATTTTCTCATTGGCCATTAACGGGATATGCCACTTATGCAAGCAAACTAATTGCGAATTTGTTTAAACATTGGAATGCTACATTCAAACTAATTCTAAATTATTTAGGGACGAAACAAGTAAATAGAAAAGGGTCAAACATTCAGTTTGCAGAAAAATAGCGAATAATATAATTATAAAACTAAACACCTGCAAGTAGCTATTAACAACATACAGCATAATAATATGTGCATATTTGCATAATCTTTAATATTTGTGAAATCCTTCAATACTATTACATAGAAGCCACATTTTCCCAAATTTATTCCATGTCAAGGCTGATTAATGAATATAAAAATTGCAAAGAAATTTTTGTTTGATGAAACTACTAGTTGCTCCTAACTAATTAAAAATTGTCTTCTGTTTAACTTAAGTTTTAAAAACTTTTAAATTTCATACAATTTATTTCTTTCCAGGAAAATTTGAGCAAAATGTGCTTTTTGCGAAATGAGGCATTTGTAGATGTTTAAATTTAGAAAAAAAATTATAGAACTTTTTTATTATTATCTTATCATACTAGACACATCTGATGGGTAACAACCCTGTGACCTTCATTAACACGAGTAAACATGTTCTAGCCTAGTCTCAGTCAGATAACATGTGTTTTTGTGTGCTAAAACTCAGACAAATATCGCATTAAGCTTAAAGCAATAAAATCCAATTACGTCACTTGTTTTAATTATATGTATATATGCCATGGAAGGTCTCCGATTCGAATTTGATTGCTTTCTTTTTCGCATTCTTGTTGAATTTGATCAATGAATACGTAGCCAGCAATGATCTATTTCTTTTTAAACCAATACTGGTCCTGGAGAAGTTGATTGCATTTGCAAATGTTTTCAGGTCATTTGAAATTAAATCTCAACTAGACACCCAACCTAAAGCAAACATTAACATGAATTTCGTGTTAAGTTTCATAAAATTTGCATTGTTGTATATGGTACCAAAGACGTGAATATTTGAGCTAATCAAATATTGACTTTAAAATAAATTATGCATATCTTAATACGATCTGGATTAACTCACTTTCATTTGATTAGCTAGTAGATAAACATTTAGAATAATGCCAGATTTTTAAAATTAAATAATTATTAAGTTATAGTGAAACATGTAGGCGAATATTTACAAATATAATTTGTTTACTCAGAAATTTAATGCATACACATACATACATGTATGCACAATTCTATTGCCTTCTTCTTCTAGAGCTGTGATTAATTAGAGTCCATTTTGTTTAAAGAGTTTATATTATATTCTATAGGCATATTTTCACATAAAAACTACAGTTACTAAATTATGACCCAACTGTACCAAACATTAAAAAAACTGTTTTAAAATAACTGAACAATGAAATAAAACATTCCGGATTTAGTAGAGAAGCAAAATATTAAGACAGTGCAATAGAAAACTGGCGCATTTTTTTTAATTTTCAAAGCAAGCAAAACCGCCTTTTAAAATCAGAAATAACTTTAAGAAGAGGATTTTTTGTAAATGTATTAAAAACCAATCAATAATGATCTAATAGCATCGGATGTTACTTCTTTAGGTGCAAATATACCCATAGAATATGCCAGTTTTCAGTAGAATTCTTCATTAGTGTAATTCCTTCAGTATAAGTACTGGTAATGTTTCGCAAGCATTAGCGTCGTACATCTTCAGTGTTTCGACCGAAAGCTGTCACTCTACTGATGCCGAAAACTGGTACATTCAAGGGCACATAAAATAASTCGCATCACTGAGTGCATGTATTTATTTAAATCTTAATAYATTTKATCTCGGGAATTGATGATCTCACTGTTTTGCTATATTTTTTAAATAAAAAAAATTTAAATAAAAAAATTGCCATATCTTTTTAGAAATAATTGTCAAATCGCTAATTTACATCGTTGTTYCGGGTAGCAAATGTTTAGTCAATTAATATCATTATATTACGATGCGAAGGTCTTATATTAGCGATTTTACAATAAATATAGAGAGTGAGCCTGTTYATAATAACAGGATTTGAGTCGTCSATTGACAATCCTATTTTCAAAACACATCAACATTGAATTAAAACATATCAAATTGAAAACCGCGTTGTTTTTAAGATGCAGGGTGGCAAAGCTAACATTTTATTTT